TACCATTACTACTTAGTTAAGCATGTGCTCTTGGAAACCATTAATAGCTTACTTCATGTCAATGGAGTCTCCCCATCCTAAGGGCCCTGACCACTGGGGCCATGCTTTCTGCTGCAGGCATCCCCATTTTATAGGTAGTGAACTTGGCCTTTTACTATGCCATGCTTCATCTAGTGATTGTTTCTGCGCTCCGATGTTGCTGTGTATAAATTCAGCTGTTGGATGTCAGTAGAGCCTGCCAGCATCAGCAGGAAAACATTTAGGTATTGAGAGTCAACGTTTTCCTCCTCAAAGATTGTTTTTCTTACTATTATCTTCCTCAGGGACATCAGATTTTTGATGTTCCTGAATCTATAAAACCATTTCCATATTTGTTATTAAAGCTAACATAACTTAAGCAGCATGACCATGGTAAGAAGGTAATTGTTATGTGCCCTGGGCCTTCTATGAACATATTTAATCTTCTCAACATCCCTGTAAAGGGCAGATTCCATTACTATCCTCATCTTAAGCGATTTTAGTGAGCCAATGTAATACATCTTAGGGGAATGTGTGATTTCTCTTAGGCTTTGAAAAATGTTTAGAATATCTCAAGATCCCCACTTCTGATTTCAGAACAAGTAGCATGAGACCCTAGTAACAACTTCCCTGATCCCATACCCTCACATTCACAAATAAGAGGGAGCCTCGGTAGCTCAAATTCAAATGAAACCACTGAGCCTCAGTCCAGTATTATACCACTTAGTGGGCCAGGTTGCAGCCGGGCCTTTGTCCACTGAGCAGGGAGGACTGCTGTGATGGATTCACCCCGCCCTCACTGGTGGGCCATCAACTGCCCCATGACCAGCCTGCACCAGGCAGCCCTTTGTGCAATTAGCCAGAGGAGTTTGACCCTTTGAATCTTCTAAATTGCCTAGAAAAAGGGTCGTGCTTTCCTGGCCTTTTAAGAATATTTTTGCTTTTTAGAGGGAGAGGAAGGAGCACATAGACAGCAATAGGGTCACTTTCCCATCAAGGTGGGGGTCCAGAGGAGATGGAGTTTTTGATCACTGGTCAGTATACCAGGAAAAATAGTCATTATCACCATATGGATTTACCTCTTTATTTTAAGTCATTTTATAAATAATTTACAGAAGAATAAAGGGATAGTGAAAAACAATTTTATAAATTTTAACAAGTATTCGCACAATCAACTAAAAACCACTGAATTATACTTTTCATATGGGTGAATTTTATGGTATGTTTATTATATCTCGAAGTCATTTATATATGAAATACATATATCTCTGTATATGTATATAGATGTATGAATTAAAACAGCAAACAATTTCAAATTTTCCTTGTCTGAAGGTATATGTACCCAAAATGAGCAATTTCCCTTGAATGCAATGAAGTGCTCATCAGCTGCTATGTGTGAAGCTGGAACTTAGTCACGAACTACTGATTCCAGACTTCAAATACATCCTTAATAGGCTCTAGCTTATCGTTGTTTCTGGGGGTTTTCTGGTTTAGATTTTTTTTTGCACTTGCATTGTCAACATGTAATATTTTTGATGGCTCATAATTTTGTGGAAGAAAGAAGAGCCATTTTCTTTGCTTCATAATTTTAAAACATTTTCATTTTTGGATTTATAAGAATGACCAAGCCAATGAATTAAATTTTTTTACAGCATCTGTTTGCCTCCAATCACCTTTGTACCCAACCGTCTTCAGCATGTCGCCACTTGCGAAATGGAACAAACTGTATCAAGTCAATTTGGGGGCATAAGCATCATAAAGGATGAAAGAATATTGTCACACCACCTTTTAGCAAGACAGGGTGGTCCAGGTTTTGGTTATAAATATTTTGTGTGATGAAATGCTTCCTGTTGAATGACTTCACCAAATAATGACTTAACATACCATATTCCCTTTCTGTTTTTAAAAATATGTTGTTCACCAATTCCTGAGTTTGAAAAAATTCATCTAGGAAAAATTTTGCTAATGTGACCAATTTCCCCATCACCCTTAGAGACGAGAGTGGTGCTGTGTGTCTGCCTCTGCATTCATTTTCTAATTTGTAATAATTGTGAAATGTCTTCTGTCAATTTTCTCTTCTCTTGTCATTATGGGTGGAAAATGAAAAATCCTGAATTCTTAACTGATGTCTCTAGACTTCTTTTATACCTTCTTGAAAGATGATAATCAATAGTTTGGGCAATGCAATATGGAAACTGAAGGATGATGTAATGGTGATGATTTATTTCATTGCATCTTCTAGGCAGTACCATCATTCTTCCTTTCTTAGTCTTGTTTGGCATAGTTGGGAATAATTGATGAATAATATGAAATAATTTTTAGGATGACATAGCAAAGTTTTTTAAGATATAGGAAAGATAAATTCATCAAGATCTCAAAATTTATTTTAGATTTATGAAAGAATCCAATGAATCCATATGGTCATTGAAGATAAAATGAGTTTATTCAATTTTTAAAAAAATAAGTATATTTCTTCATTCTTCCTTGGAAGCCCATTAAGAATAACAGTCATCAAATATTAATCCTTACAATTAGAACTGTTCAAAAAAGAAACTCAAAAGATCAAATTTGGCTTCTGTGGCTTCTGATGGTATGTCAAGGTCTGTTCTGCAAACCTGTGTGTCTCAGGAGCCATGCTCAGGGTTAGTGCTCTGGACTTGTGGTCTGGCTGCCAGGGTGGGGGTTGGGAAGCAGGGAGCCCTTCCACATATGGACTACTAGTTAAACCAAGAGACCAATACATTAGTCTAAACTAGTCCTAGAAAATTAGGACATATGGTGTGTCACCTTTTGTGTTCCTGCGAGCCTCACTCACCAGGGACGTGAACCATGTCTCCCCTCATCCTATTGGCAGGACAATATCCTGTCAGACTGGGATTTCCCTTGGTGGAAATGATGTATTTCCTACTTTAAACAACAACTGTGCTTCACTCAATGGATTCGCTTTCTCAGGCTAGCAGCGCCTGGGTGAGGCTGCATGGAGGACGCAGGCTTTGGAGGTAGCTGGACCCAGGTTTGGAGACAGCTCGAATCCCGTCTTTGCCACCACTTACCAGCTCCGTGACCTTAGTAAGCAAGTCACTTCAAAACTCTGTCTCTGCCCTCATTTGTAAAACGGGAGGGGGGGGGGCGGAGAGTATCAACTCATAGGTATTATGAGGTAGAAACCAGGAGACGCACATTGAAAGGCTTTGTTCTGGGCACTGGGGGACACAGATGAAGCTGACACCTATCCTGCCTCAAAGAGCATCCTATGGGTGTGTCGGGAGACTGGAGACATAAAAGCCTGACGGTACGTCATGTGATAGAAGAGGCGCAGATGAGGACGGGACACAAGGAGAGTGGTCAGCCTGGGGTGGAGGGTGTCAGGCCTACCCAGACAAAGCAGGAAAGGGCATTGGGGGCATGAAAGATCATCGTGGTGGAAGTGGGGCAGTCTGTTTGGCACACAGGAAGTGCCCAACCCAGGTGAGGCACCCATGTCCTTAGGGAGAGCTTGTCCCTATTTTTCCTACTCAGGCTTTTGCCAGGATAGACAAGTAATACGTCCGCCTTAGCTTTGTCATGGGTGTTATCCATGGAGGTGGGGACAGGCAGGCCCTGAGGGGCTGAGCCCCCACCCCAGTTCCCTCACCCCACTGCCATTATCAGTTGTGTCCAGATGGTCACAGTCTCCTTGATCAGGGATAATCGGAGGGTAGGAGCCCTGCTGGGTCCTGGGCCTTTGTGCTGGGGTATGAAGGGCCAGCCCCAGCTGGAAAGATCAGGCAGACAGGGCCCTGGGGCTTTGGAAGATGGGAGGGGCGTGGGGCTGGCTCTGCTGGAGGAGTAGCAAGGAGCAGATGATAACTCTTCAAAAGGCAATCTGAGTGCAAATGAGAGGAAGCCCCAGATGGGGTCTGGCCAGCTCCTCTGTCCTCCAGGCCTTGGAAACACAGGCACAGAACCTGAATTGCTGGGCCTCTACCTCACAGAATCTGTGGCACCTTTCGTTCCCTCTCTCTTCCTCTGAGCTCACCCCTCCCTATCCAGCAATTTTATGTTGCCGTCCCTAGAGCCCCAGACCAACCAGGTACTTATAAGGACATCAGGGACCTGTGCCCCTGTTGACATTGGGCATATCTTGCCGGCCCAGATGCAGCACCAGGCTGGCTGGGTTCTCAGAGGCCTGGGGCTCTGGTGCCCACCCTCCTGAAAACCTTGGACTCCAAGGCTATTCAGGTTCTGTTTGGTTTCAGCTTCTTTCATGAGTGGGGGAGTCCCCCATCTTGGCCCTGGCTTCTAGCAGTGAGCCTGGATTGGAATTCTGTTTTTAAGGCCTTTATGCCGCAGAGCCTGAACCCCAGAGCTCAAACTTCTGCCTTCCTCACAGTTTTACAGTTCTGCTGTTTCTAGTCCTTGGACATGTTTGCTTACTTACGAGCCCATGCCTCTATCTTTTTAGTCTTCTGGCTTTTAACTCTTATCACTGGGAGGTGTCTGAATTAGAGAGGGTGATTTAGAAAGAACCATCCTGACTGCAGTTGCCTCAAGTGATTCAGAACCTTCATGAGATCTTAAGAAGCAGAGACTTCCACTTACTAAGTATGTGGCCTTGAGCAATTCTTGTCTTTTCAAGGCAGTCCCTTCTCTGTAAAATACAGATACTAATAGTCAGCTAGCTAAAAGTTAAAGGTGTTGATAATAATCTCAAACTGAAGGATAGAGATTCCCTTTGGGAGAAGTGTGGGAAGGGGATGGGTTTGGGAATAGACACAGGAGCCCAAAAAGGCATTTGTAATGTCCTATTTCTTAAGCTAGGTGGCAGGAACACAGATATTTTATTATTCTTAAAAATATTTTATGCATGAAATATTTCATTATTTTTTTTTTAAAATGCCCACACAACTATTAGGAAGGCAAACGAGGTAAAATAGAATGTGCTTTGCAGAGTCAAAGCAGGGGGCAGAGACTTCTCCAGACAAAGGAGGCTTGAGATAGAACACAGACCCAACCTTTGAATGAGGTTTTATTTCTACAAGGAAGGGGGGCAATAAATTAAGGGGCTATTTACATGGAAGTGCCATGAGGGAAGCAGAATAGTGAGTTGTCCCTTTTCTCTCTGCCTTCTGGCTCAGGCTGTCTAAGTGTGAGTCACCTGCCCAGGCTCTGGACAATGGTGACGCAGCCATGGGAGCTGGTGCAGCGCTGCAGGGACGGCTGGGCCCTCACCTGCCCGCTGCCGGGGTCAAAGGTGAAGACCCTGTCGGTGCTTTCCCCATGATCATCCCGCCCACCAAGGATGTGGACCTTCCCGTCACACACAGTCACGCCACAGCTCTCCTGGGTGGACAAACAGAAAGACAATCAGCTATGGGGTCCGGCCTCTGTCCTTAGCTGGCCAGACAAGACAATAAAACCCACAGAATATGAGCAGGCAGTCCGGATGGCAGACAGGAAACTGGATGGAAGGCAGGGAGCTCTGACTTGACCCTTACTAAATGAATAGCCTCAAACAAGTCACCTAACCTCTCTGGGACTCAGATTCTTTATCTAAAATGAGAACAAGAGTACCTCCATAAGGTTCCCTTAATAGTTAATGGGATTAAGTATGTAAAGCATTTTACTCAGTGCCTGGAACACAGCACTTCAGTAACAGTAATTACTATCATCACCACCATCCTAAGATCTGACTCAGAGAAGCCAGAAATCTCAGGCTTTTAGGCTCACCGAAGGTCAGAGCTAGCAGGGATCACCACTGCAACCACACCCCCTATATGTTCTCTAGTTTCAGGAGAGGTGACCGAAGGTGGGAGATGCAAGGACAGGCCAGAGTGTCCAGGGTCTGGGCTTCCCTTCTCTGATATCACTGGGGTAGAGGAACTTACCAAGTCCCTTCTCCTTGCCCCCCAATCCTCCACAAAAAGGTACCAGCAGGTGGCTTTTAGGACAGGAGTGCAGGGTCACTCAGCCCCCCATCCAAGGCTACAGCACTTGGGGCTGGGGTTCCAGGCTCTGCCTTAATGTAACTGGTGGCCTTGGACTGGGGCCTCAATATCTCTAAAGTTAGTCTCATCTGTGAAATGCAAGGCTGGTTATCACTGAGGACAAAGCTAGAGAACTATGTAAACCCACCTAGCATGGAGTTAAGACACAAGACTCACTACCTCCAAGATTCAGATCCTTAGAACTGGTCTTCCCTCTCCTAAATGGAACCAGTGCCAGGGCCATGCCCAGGAGCCACCACTTACCACAGGGCCGGGGAGGACAGCTGCCTCCCTCCAGATATCTGTACCAGGGTCATAGGTGAAGATTTTGCTCATGAGGCCCCCTACCACATAGATGGTATCCTCAAGGGAGACAGCATCAAGACATCGCTGTGAGAAGGGTGCTGGCGACCGCAGGCTCCACCGGTCCTCCTTGGGGTCAAAGCACTGCACCTGAGGGGCAGGAGGATCAGCAGTGAAGACCCACCCCCCAACTGTCCTGCTGCACATGCACTCCCACCTCTCTGTCAGGGGGACTCATTCAACACATGTGCCTCTGTCTGCCAGGCCTGAGCTAGTGTCTGGGAGGGTACAAAGGAGACTCACTGTCCCTGCCCTCAAGTGTGCTCAGTCTAGAGTCTAGTTCCTCATCTTTCCAGGTCTAAGGAGAGGTCTCCAATCCAGGAGATGGACATACCATCTGCATCAGTGCTACAGAGGGTCCTCAGAGCAGGTCCCCCATGGAGATGTGTTCCTGGCTGCTTACACTGTCAGTCAACCCTCTTCCTGGTGCTCTAACGTCATGACAAGATTCCAGCTGGGCAGTCTTGCAGCTCACATTCCTACAGCTGTCTACAGGCCTCCCCCCGCCCCCAGTCCCACAGGTGTTTAAGATGCCTTTCACAATTCCTGAGGGTTCATACCTGTACCTGCCTGCTCGCCTTTACTTCCTGTGTCAATTGTTTCTTTGGAAACCCCTCAAAACGGCCCATAACAAGTCAGTGCTGCATGAAAGGGTCCTAAATGGGGGCAGTTCCCCAGCCAGCCCCAGGAAGGTATGCAGGAGGAATGGAGTCAGGATAAGGAGGGGCAAGTGATCCTAGTTTGGAAAGATTCAAATCCCAGGACCACAGGCCTGTGAGGCCATCAGGAGGGAGAGAGTGGCCATAACAAAGATTAATTTTTATTCATAAAAAGGCTAAATGTCCAACAACAGAAAATGAGGTTAGTAGGCTAGTTCATTCACCCAGTGGCCTATTATAGACATGATGGCTGTGAAGAGTTGCTAAGCATGTGGAGTGTTTCTACTTACAGGAGAAGAATAAAAAGCAGAATGCAGGGGCGGCTGGTAAGCTCAGGTGGTTAGAGCACAGTGCTCGTGACAGTAAGGTTGCTGGTTCGATCCCCACATGGGCCAAGGAGCTGTGCCCTCCACAACTACATTGAAACAACTACTTGACTTTGGGGCTGATGGGTTCTGGAGAAACGCAGTGTTCTCCAATAAAATTTAAAAAAAAGAAAAGCAGAATGCAAAATTTTATTAACAGAACACAAAACTAAAACAAAAGCAAAAGTCAGCTGAGAGGAAGACAAGGGAATACACCAAAATATTAATAGTTATCCTTGGGGGGGGGGGATTACGGGTGATTTTTTGTTTCTGTGTATCCTAATTTTTAATGAGTTATTATTTTTTTTGAATGGCGGAAAAACATTTTAACTATTCCCACTCTTGCCCTCACTTAATTTTTAATCTGTGAAACCATATGGCACCAGCTCAAACTTTTGGGCCCAGCTGTGCTGCTTACTGGCTGTGTGACCTTGGGTCATCTCAGAACTAATTTCCTTGCCTCAAACACGGGGCTTACTCCTCAGGGATGTTGAAGGGATTGAGAAAACGGATGAGAACAAGAAAGTGCCAGCTCAAGGCCCACACACAGCAGGCCTCCGGTACCCTCTCCACGCCCACCTTGTCTGTGCTGACGCCGTCCTGCCCTGCACCCCCGATCACGTAGAGCTGGCCTGCGCAGGGTACCACGGCTGCTGAGCTCACGGCCTCCAGGAGGGGCGCCGCGGCTGCCCAGGTGTTGCAGAAGGGGTCGTAACGCTCCACGCTGCGCAAGCGCTGCAGGCCGTCGAAGCCGCCCACCGCGAACAGCTGCGGGTGAGGACAAGGGGGGCCCGCAGGAGTCAGGGCTGGCTGCGTCTGGGTCCCACCACCTCGGGCTGCGTGCGATAAGCTATTCCACCACAGCCTAAGGGGCAGACCTACCAAGGACGAATCCCCGTGCTGCCACTACCCAGTGTCTGAACCTTCCTTAGCAGATTTCCTCTCATTAACAGGGGGATAATGAGATGGTATCTAGGATGGGTACTGAATGCGGAATTGATCTGTAAAATACTTGGCACCAAGCTGATGCTTAATAATAATAGCTAGTAATTAAAGGTATACCACCTTACTTAAATGATTCTAAGGAGCACTTTTATTTGCATTTCTGAATTGGGGGATGTAACTTACAAAGATAATTGGTAGTGTTTTGTGGTTTCTTTGGTCTTAAGTGGCAGAATCAAGATCCAAACCTAGGCTGTTTGGCCCCAGAGTCCACACCCTCGACCACCAGGTCTGTACTATTACAGTAATTACTAACAGCATTGGCATTATTATGGACCTTGGGCAAGTCCTTTCCTTTTTGAAGCCTCAGATCCCTTCTTACAAAGACAGGGTCTTAGGGGGCCTTCCCTAAGGACATCCACAGATCTGTACCTCAGTCCCCAAGGAAGCAGCTGCTACATATCCCTACCTGTCCCTGCACGACCGCCATCTTGTGCCTCCACCTGCCCTTGTGCAGCGAGGCAACCTTGATCCACGTGTGCAGATGGGAGCTAAACATCCACACATCACGGCTGTTGATGTGGCCTCCTGGGGAGAGAGAAGCAGCTGTTGCCCCAGATCCAGAGGAAGGGTTAGGGCACATAGCAGGAAGGACTTCCTCCTGGGCTAGTGTGAGACTTCCGGCCTCTGACCCAGACTGTATGCTCTGAACGCGTGGTGGGAAGGTCTGAATTAGGACAACGGGCAGGGACTCTTGAGGTGGGAGGCCTGAGAGGTTCAGGGAGATGGAACTAATCACTGGGCACCTTGTGGTGGTAAGCCAGGCTCTGTGCTCAGGGAGCAAAGAGGGGAACTTCAGAATTCTTCTGAAGGTGAGAGTGTAAAAGATGCCCAAGACAAACATCAAGAATGTGCTGGGGCAGAGAGAAAGCAGAGTCACCTGTACTGGGATGGGAAGGGGGAGAGGGTGACCCAGTCATCCCGTCTCACGTCTGCTTTCACCTTTATGACTTCATGTCTGTTCTCATCTCTTCATGAAGTGTTGGAATTATTTAACCCAGTTTACAGACAGCAAACTCAGAGAGGCTGACGAGACCAGGAATGACCCACTGAAGATCACATGGCCTTTCACTGCAAGAGCACTGATCAGAACCAGAGCTTCCGGCCCCCAAGCCCAGCATTGGTGCTAGTGAAGGGCACAGCACACCCCATGGGGCCAGGCACTGGGGATGCAGGCTGTGGACTCTCCCTCCCCTTGTCTCGCTGCCCTGGGGTTCCTGACCAGGGACTCACCTCTCAGGAGTAGCCTCCCCAGGGACAATCCTGACTGCGCCCTTCAGCCTGAGCCACATCTCTTGTTTCGTAGCCCTTGCCTCTCTATTTCCAGCGGCACCCAGCAGAGGCCCCACATGTTGCTCAAAGGCCATCAGTGGTCTTGGATAAGCTGGTCAGTGATAATGTATGGCCTGGAGGTCTCTGAGGCCTTCCTGGCTCATTCTTCTCATCCTTTCCAGGCACCCATAGCTCCCTACAATATTAAGTGCAGTCTACCTAGGCCTGGAGTCAAAGCCTCCCTGAACTGACTCCAGACTCCCTTTCCTGTCCTCACCCAGATACACTCCATTTGCACTTCAGAGCCTTGAGTACCCTGGGTTCCTTTCTGCACTTTCCTACCTTTGCTTATGCTATTCCCTCCAAGTTGGGCCACATTCCCTAAGTGGGATTCCCCATCAAATTCTGCCTGGTGGTAAAGTGAAGTCCATTCCCCATCTCTAGGGTATTTCTGGGGAGCAGGAACAGTGTTTAAGTCTCCAGCGCATGAATTTCAGGGAGGGCACAGTCCATTGGTATCAAAGAGATCTGCTTTTTCTAGCTTTGCCAATTCTGAGACAATGGAGAAATTCTTAACCTCTCTGAGCCTGTTTGCTCATGTGTGAAATGGGGTTATAGAGAGACTAAAATAACTAAGGTAAGTTGCTTAGCATAATTCATGGCACATAGCAAGCTAAATAGATAAAGAGAAGTGATTAATATTAATATGAATTGAAGCCGACTTTCCTGAATGAAGGGCGGAGTCACACCAGTGATTGGTTCTGCAGGACTACATACCATTTCAGCCAATAACTAAGTAATCAGGAAAAATACCACCATCATCTCCCAGTTGGCGGGGACAAACAAAGGGACGGTTCCAGGTAGGTAATAAGCCAATCCCGTAGGGCTCCCACTTCAGCCCTGCCCTCACCAGAGATGTAGATGTCATTGCGGAGAGCACAGGTGGCGAACTCTGAGCGTGCGTAGCCAGGCAGGCTGGGCAGTGGGGTCCAGCGCCGGCTTTCTGGGTGGTAGGAGTCTGCGAAGGGCAGCCTTAGGAGCCCCTTGCGGTCACAACCGCCGATGACCACGATCACTTCAGCTAGGTCCATGAATCTGCCATGGGGATAAGCCCAATATCTGTTGATCCACACCCAAGTTTTGACCCTCTCTCACCCTCTCATTGACCACACTAAGGTCCTACTGCTCTTCCATGCCCCTCTGCCTCCCTCCTAACCCCCATGCTGGATTCTGACTTCCAACCTTTCCTCTGGCTACTGATGGGACGAGGGTCACTAATCCCCCATTCTACTGACCTCTAAGTAACAGCAAAATAATCTTGCCATAGCTCTTAACCTTACCTAGAAAAATCACCTGGTTTAATCTTTATGCCAGTTCTATTAGGCAGGGATTATTACTCCTTTTACAGAGGAGGAAACTGAGCCCCCAAATCATGCAAGCCAGTAAGTGAAAGAGCTGGAATTCAAGCTCAGGCTTATCTGACGCTAATCCATTCTCTTCTCCGTTTTGTGACCTCCACTCTTAATTCTGCTGCCTCTCTCCTCCTATAATCATCTAAACCCAAACCCTAATCACTAATCCATTTGAACCAGGCTACACACCCTTTCAGCAAAAGCATTTCCCCTTCAACTGAGCCCTCAGGCTTCTGACCTCATCAGAACTCCCAAACCCTTCCATTTCTGAAACCCACTGGTTTCCTATCTAATTCCTTTGACAAATATTAAGCACCTTTGTACCAGGCCACGTGCTTAGTGTTGGAGGTAAAGTGGTAAGACAGAGGCCTCCTTGTCTTCTATCCCTGGAAGGATGACAGACCATCTTGGACTACACCCAAAGTCTCCCTGTGTGGTGTTCCAGGCTGCCTACTTATATACTTTACTAATCTGAGCTTCCGGAGCATATAAGGTGTTTCCAAATCACTCTTGAGGCCCAAGCACCCAGCACAAGACCTGCATAGGGAGCACTCAGAATCATGGATGGATGGGAAAGAGAAAGAATGTGCGTAGGGTGTGAGACCCTTGCACCCCCCCCTTATTGGACTGTTAACTCTTCAAGGGCAAAACGCCCAACACTAAGCCTATGAAATGTTTGTTGAATGAATGACTGAATCTCATTAAGTCATTGAATTAAAGGATGATGGAGGATTAGTGAGTGGTTGAAGAAAGCAGGAATAACGATGCGCGAGAGGCAAAGGGGTGGGGTGAGGGCATACCTCCGAGGCCGGGTCCGCAGCGCACTGGCCTCTCGGCCCAGGATGAAGCAGGCACGGGCCTCGAGCAGCAGCGGACGGCACTCGCCGCAGGCCTGCAGCAGCTCGTCAGCCTCCACCTTTTCCAGAAAGTATTCGGGCGCCAGCAGGGGCAAGCGCACGTGCTCCAGCAGGCGTCGCAGCTGCCCGCGACGCGCCGGCGCATCGTGACGCACCCAGCGCATGGCCGCCTCGAACACGGCCTCCTCGCGCGCCACGCCCAGCGCTGGGTCGGCCAGCAGCGCTGCCACCTCGTCAGGCGCCAGCTCCAGGAAGTCCGCGTGGCGCGCCACCTCAGTGAAGTCCTGGCGCAGCACGTGGCCACAGCGCTCCGCCAGCGAGGCAAGCGAGAAAGCAGCAGCCACGCGGTGTAGCGCCAGGCTGTTGGCTGCGCGCAGACGGCCCTCGAGGAAGCGCGCGCAGGCCTCGCGCAGGCCCGCCACGCCCAGCCTCTCGGCCAGCGCCAGCACGGCGGCAGCCTCGTCCTCGGCGCGCAGCCGCACGCCCGCGCCGTACACGTAGTCTAGCACCACAGCCAGCGCCGCCGCCGTCCCCGCAGGCCTCGCGCCCGGTGTCTCGGGCACCACGGGCACGACGGCCAAGCTGCGCTCCAGCCGGCCGGCCGCGAACAGACTGTGGAAGTAGGCGCTGCCCGCGCTCAGCGCGGCTCGGTGGCATGGGAAGTCGCGGCCGCCAGCGCGCAGCACCACGTCGGTGAGGGTGCCGCTCCGCCGGTACGCGTTGAGGGTCTGCAGGACGCGCTGTGCGTGGCAGGAGCCCGCACACGGTGCCTCGGAGCCCGGCTCTGGCTCCTCCGGCACCGGGCCTTCCAGCATCCTGCTGGGTAGAGAACACAAACAGCGTCGGGAAATCCACGGGGCTGGGCCCTGGCAGAGGGCAGGAGGCCCTCGTCACAGGCTGCGTGAACGTAAGTTAGTGTGCTTTCATTCATTCAACTGCTCTTCCTTCCACCCACCCGCCCAGATCCTAATGGCTGCAAGGATCTGGCCTCTGCCCACCTGAGGGGCTAGGCCCTGCTCTAGCTAGTAGCACCTTCTCTGTCGCTTACCCACTTCAGCCTTATTGCCCTTCCTAGTCTTTAAACTTGCTAAGCTGTTTCTAATTAGTATTGGCAGGAGACAGATGGCACACTCTCAATTGGGGTAATTTGAGGAGAGTTTAATAAAGGAATGGTTTTCAAAAGCATAGACAGTGTTCAGGGACTCCCACAAGGGACAGAGCAGTGCCACGTGGCTGCGAATTCCAAGGAGCCTTTACCTCTCCAAGGTCTGAATGGGGAGGATTGGGCGACTACTAGAACCTGCGCAAAATATCTGTATAGGGAGGGCCCCTGGTAGGAACTGTAGACATTGGTCAAGGGATTCAGGTTACCCCACAGAGACCTGAGCTGTGTGTGCGGGTGTGGGTGTGGGTGGGGGGGTATAACTCTACCTTCTCATCCTACCCCTCCTCACCCCATCCTGTCTCCCGCCAATCTCCTATAGGTGCTCCCCATTAACCAAACCCTGATCACTTCTTCTGTTTAATACCTGCCCCTCCCCCAACAGCACAGGTGCTCAATACCTGTTCAAAGTCGAGTGAATGTATTAAACAAGTATGTGTTGAGGGCCTTTTCTGTGCCAGGCAGTGAACAAGGCTGTCATGGTCCCTGTCCTCCAGGAGTTCACAGCTTGGCGGGGGTCCCATGGGAAGTACAGAGTATTAGGGGAGCTCTTAGAAGAGGTGCAAAACCCAGTTGGAGGGGAAGCAGTCAAGGCATCCTTGAGGAAGGGTCCTTTAGACTGAGGAGGATAGGTAGAATTAGCCAGGTGAAGGGAAGGGCGTGGAGGAAGCAATTCTCCAGCTGAGAGAACAGCCTGTGCCAAGGCCCAGAGGGCAGCGGGGCATGAGCTTAGAGCTGACGCTGAGAGGGAAACTGGCCCTCTCTGTTCTCAGGGAAGCACTGAGGGGGGGCAGAAAGAGCCTGGCTCTAAGGGCTGATCCGGGTTCTAATCCCGCTTCTAACATTGCCTCTCTGTGACCTGTGCAAATCATTCCTCTTCAGTGTCTTCATCTAAAATGGGATCCTAATGCCCACCTCACAGGGGTGTTTTGACTTTGACTCTTAAACGGAATGTATGAAGAGTGCTAGGTGCATAGCACAAACTCAACCAATGGTCCTTACATTGTTTTTACTCAAGAGGAAGGGAACACACCTGGTTGCTTTCTTGTATATAATTTCATTTGATCCTCACAGCCTGACAAGTTTCTGTATAGCCCCACCCTCTTCTTTTTTAAGTGTCACAAGGAAACAAGTACACAGAGGGAACCTGCCCTTCAGAGGTTGCTACGAGGATCAAAGGAGGGGTGTTTGTGAAAGCTCTCTACAGATTAAAGGGGTGTACCGTGCGTCATGATTTGACCATTATGAGCATACAGGCTCTGCTTGCACACCTCCGGGGACAGGGAGCTTACTCTCTATGTGGCAAAACTCTAGGGGAGCACAGCTCTGGTCTCTGCCCCTTGCCTCTCCCTCCATTCTCCTCATCCCGGCTGCTCTGCCTCCTCTGAGACTGCTCTGCCCTGGAGGTCAGATCTTGCAGTGTCGGCCTGACTTTCACTGCTTATGCCCGGGTCACCCGGGGTGGTGGATCCCCTGCCTCAGCATCACAGCACATGAGCTCTCCGGTGGGCAGGATCCCTGGAAGTTAACAACTTTGCCCAAGTAGAGGGGGAGGCACTGTACCTGGCTCCAGACTGCATGCCTAGCAGCTCAGCCACATTGCTAGACTGAGGGTGTGTCCCAAGGAATAGCCCAGGACCAGTGGAGGGACGTGAAAGAGGTCATCAGAGCATGCTGCCTCATTCTATTTTCCCAGGATTGAGAAAGCAGCCACCCTGTGAGCTGAGATCCAAGAGGGCAGGTCTCATCAGCATAAGGAGGACTTCTCCTTGCAGAGATGTCCCATGGTACAAGGGGCTGTCTGGGGGAACGAGGATATCACCTACTGGGAAGTACACCAGTACTTTTTCATTCATTTTATGGCTGTCTACTGCTCTGGGCACTGAACACAGAGAGACATCAAACCCAGTTTCCACCCTGGGGATTCCCAGTCTGGGAGCTGGAGAGCACTCAGTTGGAACACGCAAGGTAGGGATTCCAGGTAGAGCTCAACCTGGCATTCTCCCATCCCAGCTAAGAGTCTAGGCATCTCAAGTCATAGGTCCTGATGCAGACCGAGGGACCCAGCCCCTAAAAGTTGACATGCCATCCTGTCTCTTTCTCACACCCACACCCACTCATAGAAACATGCTCAGATTGTAGACACCACACAGCAGGACAGCCCTGTGTCCTAAGTTCCACCCCGATGTAGCTGGCACTTACCTGGCCACACCCTCTCCCAAGTGCCCCACAGCTGCTGCTCTTGCACGGGCCACTCCTGTCCTGCCGCCTGTACCTCTGGCAGCCTGAGTTCCAGTGTCCCTGCCACTCTGCTCAGACTGCCACTCCAGCTCAGCTGCAGGAGGACAAAGGGGCTGGACGCCAGAAGGGAGAGGAGAGGGGGGAGGGGAGGAGGGGACACTGGGCTTTTGTTCCACCCTTGGACCAGCCCTGGAAGGGAGGGAAAGAGGGAGAAGGCAGGAATAAGCATGGGACTGACTGTGTAACTCCGGGATCTATGTGCCTGGATTGGGGTGATCTAGCACTGGCTGTGCCCCGGAATGATGCACAGGTGTGAGGCGTGTGTGTGTGTGGGAGTACCTTCCCTGGGGAGATGGTGTGTGAACTGGGGGTTTGTGAGCATGCAGGTGTTCCAGGGTACCTGTGTGACGGAATGTGGACGTGCGTGGGACTCGGCAACTGCATAGCATCAGGGTAGGTGTGTGACAGTAGCGGCAGGTGTAACTAAGAATGGGACTGCATGGCTTAGAGGTCTAGGTTTCCCTCCTACCCCTGTGTGACTCTGTGTGCCGTGTCTGTGTTCCTGCTGATAGCAGACATGTCATTGTGGGACCGTGCATCTGGTTATACGTGTATGCCTTGTGTGTCCCTGCGTCTTTTTCTCGGTGATTTTTCATTTCTGTGTACGACTGTGTCTCTGTGTCTCTGTGGATAGTGTGGTGTGTATGGACAGCGTGTGGTCCTTCGTGGTATGGTCTAAGTCGAGGTGATTCTCACTCAACAATGTACCTGCCTTGGAGGGGGCACAATGGGATTGGAGTGGTGGTCCTGGGCAGGCCTGGTTGTGGGGGAGAGAACCAAGCGGCTCTGGGCTGGCCGGGCCTCCTGGAGCCAAATGAAATGACTCCATAGGTTGGTGCTGCTGATCATTTGCTGCCTCTAAAAAGGGCCTCCATGGAGTGGCATCCATGGAGTGGGCAAGGGGATTTGGTTTCATGCAGGAAGACAGTATTTTGAGAGGAGGTTGCCTTTCCAAGAGCCCGCATTGGCCAGGGGCATCTGTGGCCTTTTCTTGGCACTGTCTTGACACACCTCACAGCCCTAAGCAGATCACTGCCACCCCCTTGGCCCCAGTTTCATCTCTGCAGGAGGGATAATCGAGATTCCTGCTCTAACTGCCATGTGCTGTGAGGAGTCACCAGGGGCAGGAGCTCTCCCCCAGGCTCAGGCCGGCCCAGTTTGTGGAAGGAGCTGTGATAGGAAGGGCCACTGTGACTGTGGCCAAGTATGTATGTGTCCTGAGGCCTGTTGGCGTCTGTTCTGCGGACCCTGCTCCAGGGAACGGTGTATACCCCTTCCTCCTAAAAAAAAGGGTGGTATGGGTTGCTGTTTGTCAAAGGATGTGAGAGATTCAGGCACTTTATTTTCTTTAACCATTCATTCATTGAGTTTTTTCATTCATTCCCATCCTTCACCCCCTCCCGGTTCACAATGATCAGCTTGTTCTCTATATCTGTGGATCTTTTCCTGTTTTGTATATTCATTTGTTTGTTTTCCTTAGATTTCACATATAAGGGGAATCATACAGTATTTGACTTTTTCTGTCTGACTTATTTCACATAGCATAATACCCTCTAGGACTACCCATGTGGTTGCAAATGGCAAAATTCATTCTATTTTACGACTGAGTAATGTTCCATTGTATATACAGAGGGTGCCAAAAGAATGTATACACATTTTTTTTTTAGATTTTTTTTT